AGAATGTACTACTTGATAGATTTAAATGTCGTTGGGGATGTGTATGTATTAATGTCATTTTTTGAATAAAATTAGCCGCATAGCCTTACAGTAGCGGAAAAAATTCGCCCCGCTACACTAGGGAAAAAAATTCGCCCCACTACACTAACGAATTTTTTTTCACCCCCTACACTACCGAAAAATTTCGCTCCCCTTGAATAGAAATTCTGGATCCGTCCCTGCTTTCGATAGCTTATATATGGCCTTAAACCCATTAATTAATGCGACCATGTTTCAACTAATCATCCCTTTATTTCATTACATCTTTCATTGATCAATCAAATTAGTGTGTGAAAATGTGGTTATTGAACATGACATCTTCTTGTGATATATTGGACGTACTGTTTCGTGGGGTGGTCAAAATAATATAATATCCACTTTTTTCCCTTTATCTGTATGTTTATTTCGTTAATTTGAAGTTAAAGTTGCTTAAATTTATTCTTCCACTTTTAAAGTTTAAATCCCCATTAAGCTTCACTCTCCAATCCCTCCAACCAAATGTAGTCTTAGCTACCAAGTACCAGCGTTAAAATGGACGCTCGTCCGCAATGGTGGTCTAAAGACTAGTTGGTCTTGTTTTTTTTTTTTTTTTTTTTTTTTTTTTTTTTTTTAAATTTAAAGCTCTAGTATTGAAAAAATGTATGTATACGTTATTTACGAAATAGTGTATATATTGTAATCGAATTTAGTTAACCAACCAGCTAGTGTTCCACCAAACATCCCCCAACCGGCCCAACGTACAGCCATATTACTTGAATTTCCAATTTTTCGGGATAAGGGTCAGTTTGGTCCTCGAAGTTGCAAAAACGGGGTCAAATAAGTCCTTATATAGAAGATTCTGTCCAGACGTGCCATTTGAGGTGGCTCCCGGTGGAATTGTTTGATGAAAATTTTTGAGCATCTTATTCATTAAGTCTAGTTTACTCATACCAAATTTCAGATAAAAATTCAATCGGGAAGACATTCAAATGAATTATTGAAGATAACTGTGCTGTTAAAAGCGCTGTTATATTCAAGAATTCATTTGAATGTCTTCCCGATTGAATTTTTAGCTAAAATTTGGTATGAGTAAACTAGACTTAATGAATAAGATGCTCAAAACAATTTATCACAAAATTCCACCGGGAGCCACCTCAAATGGCACGTCCGGACAAAATCTTCTATATAAGGACTTATTTGACGCCTTTTTTGCAACTTCGAGGACCAAACTGACCCTTTACTCATTTCCAAAAAAACTGATAACTTAACAAAAGGTGATAAAATGTTCAAAAAAATTAAGTGCTTTGTTGACGTTGTTATACAAATTACTCCATATTATATACGAGTATATATATTTTTAAATATGAAACGGCCAGACTTGATATAAGCTAGCTACGTATTCTCTTTCTTGGAAACACGCGAGTAATATTTTAAAATATTATTTTTCATTTGCTCATAATAAAAATGTATGCATATATGACATATTGAGCGGTTTCAAATTCTTAGATAAATCGATTTAATATGTTGAAATTTAGATTAAACGAGTAAATCTATTAAATTATGGAAAAAATATATTTAAAATATACTGTATTCGTCTCGTTGAAAGGTTCCCATGATAAAACGACATTCTGTAGAAAATAAATAAATAAGGTAGTCTGAGTATATTTTGAGAAATAATTTTAATTAATAGATATATAATACAGTGGAGTTAGTGTTGATAATTGTGATGTTATAAATGTATTATTTTTAATATTTAATGATTAATTTTTCATTTAAAAAGGAAGTGAGAACCTTTCTAATGAATGAAAAGAGTATATATTACAAATAAAATAAAGACAAAACTACACAAAAGTTAATTAAAATGATCCTAAATAATAATTACAGTCAATCTAGCTATAAAAGTAGCTCTACAATGTCATATTTTGACTACTCTGTATTACATTTCACATGCAAAATACATTGGTTATGTATTTTATATAAAAAACCAATGAAGCTAATAAACTAAAATTTTAACTATAAGTTAGAAAGGAAATAATTACATAAATATGACCAAAATAAAGATGATTTACAAAAATATAAGTTATAAATATATTATGACTAGTAATGAAATCATAATAATTCATATTTAAGTTTTGAGCTTAAGTTGCCACAACACCACATTGTAGTAATGAATAATCATAATTATGTAAATATATTTTATTTTAGTAATATTCTTGTAAAAAACCCGTTAGAAAACGGGTAGATGATTTGATATACAATTGTCTTTGACTCAACTATACTCTCTCGGTCTTGTATAAGATTGTCATCTTTCATTTTTTTTTTGTTATTTCTAAAAACTTTATCAATTTCTCCATTATAATGTGTCATCTTTCCTTAATGGTTCCAATTATTTCTCTATTTTGCGCACAAACCTTGCACAGTTATTCTGGCGGTTAATTTTGATCAAGTTTCAAGGGATTGAGAGAGTAAGAAACACATAGATTTGATCTAATTTCTGACCTTCGGCATCGAACCAGACTTTGAGTTTATCACATCCAAAAAAACAATACGACTCGTTGATCATATAATGGGTTTAACTGAGCCAATGACGGACGCCATAGACCTTTCATCACTCAACCTAAACTCTAGAGTTTCTGCTAGTTGAAATAAAGAAAAAGACCAAAACAACATTCAGTTCGAATCATAAAATAAAAATAAGAGCAAGATAATTGAAATAAATCCAAACATCAAACAACATCTTCTAAACCCTAATTACACGATTCCTTCACGGTAACAGTTCGGGAGGAGGTTTGACTAACAATATTCCATCTTCTTCATCTCCCTGACCCTGATTTTTTAACTTAAAGCTTGAGTATTGAAAAAAATGTATGCATTATTTAGGACATACTATGGGTATGTTTGGCAAATGGCTTATCAGCCGGCTTTTAGCTTGTTTGACCCATTTCAGCAGTTTGATTGCTCAAAGAAGCTAATAATGATGTTTGGTAAATGACTTTTAAAATTAGCTTGTTGAGTTTGAAAAGCTGAAAAAATGGATTGTTGAAGAAGCTAAGGGGAGCAGCTTATTCATTCAGCTGGTTCAATTTACACTCTATCAGCCATTTCGAAACAACCAATTTTACCAAACAGTTATCTATAATCAGCTAACATAACCAGCCGGTCAAAACAACTAACACAACCAGCTTTTAGGAAACAGCTGACACAACCAGCTAACAACAACAGCTAATAGCCATTTGCCAAACATACCCTATATAGATTAGAGTTAGCTCAATTGAATTGAATTTAATTAACCAACCAATGTTCCACCAAACATCCCCCAACGTAATAGCCATATTATTTGAATTTCCAAAGTCAAAATGTAAAAACTACTAACCAACGTCAATAATTTAAAAAACAAATAAATTTTAAAAAACTAATAACTTAACTAAAGGTGATAAAATGTTCAAAAATTTTGAATGCTTTGTTGACTGTTGTTATACAAATTATATACTTTATTCGTCCCTTATTTAAGTTCTCACTTTTCTTTTTTGAATGTCCAAAAATAGTTCACACTTCCTTATTGACAAACAAATTTTCACCAAAACAGTGCAAAATAGTGCCAAAACAGTGCAAAAATAGTGTTAAACAGTGTTGACCAAGAATAAATGTTTAACAATAAAACGGCTAGAATTGAATACAAATTAGCCACGCATACTCTTTTTTGGAAGTAATTAAGCGAGTAATATTTTAAAATTTTAATTTCCATATGCTCACAAAATGAATACATACACTTTAAACGGTTTCAAACTCTTAGATAAATCGACTTAATATGTTGAAATAGATGAAATTTAGATTGAAGTGATTGAATTGAGTATTTAGATGAAAAATTATATTTAAAATATAACATAATGGAGTGAGTGTTGATAATTATGATGTTATAAATGTATTATTTTTAATATTTAATGATTAATTTGTCATTTATTAATTTGTCATTTATGATAACCTTTATATGGAACGTCCAAAAAAAGAAAGTAAAACCTTTCTATGGAACGAAATGAGTATATATTACCAATAAAATAAAGACAAAACTACATGAAAGTTACTTAAAATGATCTCATATAATGCTCCTTCCGTCCCAAAAACAACTTCCCACTTTCTTTAAATGGATGTCCCAAAATTAACTTCACACTTCAATACTTTTCTTATTTGACAAATTATCTACATCAAAAAAGTGAAAAACAGTGCCAAACAGTGTTTAAATAGTGTCAAACAGTGTTTAAACAGTGCCAAACAGTGTTTAAACAGTGCAAAACAGTGCACTCTATAGCAAAGTCAAATTTATTTTCTAAAAGTGTGTGAAAGTCCAACTGTGAAGTTGTTTTCGGGACGGAGAGAGTAATTACAACCAATCCAACTATAAAAATAGCTCCAAAATGACATATTTTGATTAGTCTATACTACATCATACGTGGAATCAAAAGTTAGGTATTTAATAAAAATAGTAACAGATGAAGATGATAAACTGAAATTAGAAGTTAGAAAACGGGTTGCTCATTGATATACAATTGTCTTTGACTCAATTGTACTCCCTCTATCTTCGTTGTCATCTTTCATTTCTTTCATCTTATTTCCAAAATTTTTGTCCATTTTTCTATTATAATGTTGTCATCTTTTCTTATTGGTTCCAAGTATTTTTCATTTTTTGCACAAAACTCGCACAATTTTTACTTTATTATTCTGATGTTAGTCAAATTTGATCAAGTTTTCAAGTGAGAGGGTAGGAAATGTATACCTTAAAAAAACACAAAACGTATACATATACTTCGTATATACGTATAGTAGTTTTTCCTAAATATTAGTCCGTAATACTATTCATGAAAGTGGAAACACTTGGGCTCCATGCATGAGCCCTCCTACATGTAACCGTCATGTGACTCGAAAACAGTGAAGAAATCCGTCTGTTGCCAAAGCCACAAAAATCATTTTTAAATAAATTAAAGATCGCGGAGTAAAAACTACAGTGACATTATTGAAAAGAAAAAGAGGAGAGTACAATAATAATAAAATTATTAAACAAAAACAAAAAGAAAGACAGTACAAGAGAGAGAAATCGGTGAAGGCTACTTTACTGCTTTTTTAGGTTGCACGCATCCTTCCATGGCAGACCTTCGAAGCCAAAAACAGATTACTTCAAGCACCGAAGAAATTTAATTTCTTACAGCAAAACCAGGAACCGAAGAAACCCAACAATTCTATATAACTCCTCTTCATCCCTGACTCCAGCCTCTTCTAATCTCGAAGAAGCTTAGAGAAAAGCTAAGAAGTACCAAAAAGCTCTCATTTTTGTGCAGAATGGAGGTTCTTCTCCATTCTTGATGCAATCGAAGAACTTGGGTTTCAGGATCATTCAGCAATTTTCCTTCTTGGGAGGTGAATCTGGGAAATTTAAGGGCTTTATATGAAGAGGATGCCCTTTCCCTTTGAATTTGAAAGCCAGGAGGAGGGGGCCGTTCAGGAATTTCATACCAGCGATTATAATTCTGGAAAAGACTGTCTTTTGTCAGCAGAAGATTGTTGGAATAAGGGAAAATATTGTTTTGTTGGAAGTAGTGAGCCCTCCTCTGTTCTGGATAGGTCTCTTGCTTCATCTTCAACGCTGTCTTCTTCTCTGGGCAGCGGCGGCGGCGGGGGCGGCGGAGGCGGCGGGGCTAGCTCGTCGGACACGGCCAGGGTGGCGGCGGTTTCTGGTAACCCGGGTTCAAGGTGGAAGCAGGACAACACCACTGCCACCAGTTCTAATGCAGGGGGAGGGGAATCTGAATCTGAGCTGTTCAAAACTGTTCCGCCGTGTCTTGGGTTCGGTGCCGGCCGAGACTCCGCCGCAGTGACGGCGGAGAAATGTGGAATGGACGAGTGGGAGTTTTCTGGCTCAGTTGCGGCCTCCCCTGATGAGGAGCCTTTGCTCCGTTGGATCATGGGGGATGTGGATGGGCCGTCAATGGCTAGCCTGAACAAGGTTTTGCAGGCTTCCGGTCCGGCGGAGTACGGCTTTAACGCCGGGTATCCGGCCATGGATCAAGCGTTTGGCTCACACCCGGTGAGTTCCGGCGATGGCTTCATCCCAGCCATCACCTCTTCTATGCCCGGATCAGGTTTCCCGGTGAGCAGGCCCCCCAACCCGCCGGAAAACCCGCAAGTACCCTTTTTCCCTTCTGGATTTGACCCGGATCTGTTGATGAACCTCCAACAAACGCAGCAAACGCAAAACCATTCAGTCTTCCTGCCATTGCCGTACGCCCGGCATGAACAGAGCCACCTCGTACCGCCGCCGGCGAAGAGGCAGAACCGAGGAGCTCAAGAACCCGGCGGATCTCCGTTCCAGGGATCTCTGTTTGACATTGCGCCGCCGCAACCTCATCAGTTGCAATTGCCCCCCAATTATCTCTCTGGAGAAGAAACTGGACAGTCGCAGTCGAATTATCAACAACAAGCCATAATCGACGAGCTATTCACGGCGGCGGAGCTTGTCCAGTCCGGCAGACCGAATCTCGCGCAAGCGATATTGGCGCGGCTCAATCACTACCTCTCCCCCACCGGTAACCCTTTTCTCCGAGCAGCTTTCTATTGTAAACAGTCTCTCGAATCAATCCTCGAATCTTCTTCTTCATCATCCCCTGTACCACAGTTCAGCGTTATTTACAAGCTCGCCGCTTACAAGTCATTCTCCGAGATCTCTCCGATCACATACTTTACCAATTTCACTTGCAATCAAGCTCTTCTAGAAGCTTTGGAAGGGTTCGACAGGATCCGAATCATCGATTTCGATATCGGGTGTGGCGGGCATTGGGCTTCTCTGATGCACGAGCTTTCCGTGAGGAGCTCCGGCGTAGCCACACTCAAAATTACTGTCTTAGCCTCGCCGGAAAAGGATGATCACGAGCAGCTTCGTCTCACTGGGGAAACCTTAATCGAGTCGGCCAGTGAATTCAATATCCCATTCGAGTTCGAAATTGTGACCGTTGATTCCTTGAATGATCTTCTTGACAGCGTCTCTGAGGACGGTAATGGCGAAGCCATCGCCGTCAATCTCCCGATCAGCTGTTTCGGGGCGCATCAACTCTCGCACGCTTCTGTTCTCGGGTTCGTGAAGAAGTTATACCCCAAGATTGTGGTTTCCATTGACAGACCTTGCGACCGGACGGACATGCTGTTTCCTAACCAAGTGATCAATGCCGTTCAGTACTTCTCGAACCTCCTAGAATCGCTTGACGCCGTGAATGTGAACTTCGACGCCCTTCGGAAGATCGAGACGTTCTTCGTGCAACCGGCAATGGAGAAGATCGTGGCGGAACGGAGTAGTTGGCCCGAGAAAACGCAGAACTGGAAGACTGCGTTTCTGTCGTCGGGGTTCTTGCCGGTGACTTTCAGCAACCTGAATGAATCTCAAGCAGAGTGCGTGGTAAAGAGAACTCCGGTGAGGGGGTTTTATGTGGAGAGGAGACAGTCTTCTCTTGTGCTTTTCTGGCAGAGGAAGGAGCTCATCTCTGTTTCTGCTTGGAGGTGTTAAATGTTAATTGTTTTTCTGATCATTCTCTGTTTTTTAAGTATGAGAAAAAGAACATTTTCAGTTTTTACTTTCTTGCCTATAGATTTTTATTTTCTTATTGGGGCAGTGCTGTGATGATTATTGGTTATTAATTGTGCTGGGAAATCTGTTGACAGTAATCAGAAGTTTAAAAAAATACTTAGGTAACAATTCTGGGTGATCGATGGTTTTATGTTCTTTTCAGATTGTGTTGTTGAATGAGTCAATTCTGCATGGTGTTTTTTTGTATTACAATTTTGGATGGTGGGGAGGTTCTTGAACAGGAATGTTTGTCTACTATAATCCCTTAAGAGGACTATGATATTACATTATGGGATTAGACTTGTCTCAACTAAAAGCTCAAAGTGATAGTTAGATTATGCATTTAATGGGGAATTTATGTAATGGTTAGATTATGCATTTAATGGGGAATTTATGTAATGGTTAGATTTCGCATTTATGGAGCACATGTTTACAATATCTCCACGGAATTAAGGATGTTTTCTTTTTGGACTGAAATTTGCTGGTCTGGTCTGGTTTGGTAAACATTTGGTCTCTGTGTATTTTATAACTACCCAAGTCTGGTCTGGTTTGGTCTGATCTGATCTGTTTAAGTCTAGTTTGGTCCGGTCTAGTCTGTTTAAGTCTGGTCTGATCTGGTCTGGTCTGGGACTGGAAACCGTCCAAAAGAAAACATACTAAATGTCTTAGTATTTGGGGTGTTTGAGAATAAGTTCACATTTCAACGATTGAAGAAATAGTTTTTTCAATTATCGGAGCCGCCGTGCGGCCTCCACGTTTTGAGGGCCTTCCTTGTGGAATTTTTCGATGAATTTTTTTGAGCATGTTCGTCATCAAGTCTAGTACATTCATACCAAATTTCAGCAAAAAATTCAATCGGAAAGGCAGCCAAACGATTTTTGGAAGATAAATGCGTTTTATATGTATATAAAGGGTGCATTTATCTTCCAAAAATCATTTGACTACCTTCCCGATTGAAGTTTTTGCTGAAATTTGGTATGGATGTACTAGACTTGATGAAGAACATTCTCAAAAAATTTAATTGAAAAATTCCATCGGGAAGGCCCTCAAAACTTGGAGGCCGCACGGAGGCTCCGGTAAGGTAAGGTATACCTTACCGGAAGAGTTCCCTATCAGGTAGATTTTATTTTGTGAACACCATTGATCATAGGAGGATTTACCATTATTAGCAGTTTGTAATTTGTTAAATTTGTGTATACAGTTAGTAGATAATTTGTTAATGACATTTAAGGATATCAATTAATTTTTTATTAATTTAACTAGTACAACTACTTAAACCATTTATATGTTTAAAAAATTTAATTTTATTAACACGAGTAGTACTTAATTTAAACATTGTTTTTCACTTAGAAATAAACACAATTAGTACGATGATATAAGAAAAAATATACCAAGAAAAGTTATTTAACATAAATGAAAATTGTACACGCATAAACATTAATGTCACTATAATAAAAAATACTAATGACCACTTTATGGTAAAGGTTAAAGTATGTTGTGAATGAATACTGGTCTCTAAGAACGCCTTTTAGGTGCCATCAAACTAGAATTATTATCATGAATAGTTGTAATTTTAAGGTTAAATGTAGATTCAACTTAATGAAAGATATCATATACTGCTAAATTTGGATTTTGTTCAATAATATTAAAATCAGGTCGGAACCCCAATCGTGCTTTTCTAAAGTATGGAATGCAAATCATGAACAAATTCTCTTATTCTAGTCATATAATGTATAAATGAGCATTTTCTGCAATATTCTCCATTGCGCCTTAAGAACTACGAAAACGCTCTCAATGCAACTGTTTAGAGATGAATCATCTCGATTAAATACTTCTTGAGATCCCCTTTGACTTTGCTCCACATAATTCTATTTGATGATACATAGTCTTGAAGTAAGGGTTGAGATAACTTTGTCTTTTTGGGAAACTTTTGCCCACTCAATAGCATTTACCTATATGTACATAAAATTAATACTCCGTACATTAGAACATTTATTTAGCATGCAAGCAGCATATAAAATCAACTACCCGTGGTGAATTTGGAAATTGGAGACCTTGATTATTGTTCGAAGAAAAATGGGAGTATCATGTGTTGCTCCTTCAAAATTGGTCGAAATATATGTGAATAGGAAATTAAAGTCACATGCTACAACAAAACAAAACAAAAAGTACCTTAATCCTCAAATTCCACCACCGATCAAAAACATGATAATTCTTTTACATGATTTCATCCTAATGTAGTCTTCTTTCTTTTCAGTATTTTCCAAATACACCACCTAGTTCTAATTCAATCCACCTTATAGTCATGTTTACCTTTACTCCAATGAAGGTCCGTATGTTTGACAAATTTAGCTTAACTTATATCTTCTTCAACACCAACCTTTAACAAGTTACTCCATCATTTTTTCACATACTCCTTTCAACATTGGGGAGGTGAATTAATTCTTTTGTCCAACTAATTCTACCTATAGTTGAATTCTGTTGATTTTCATTGTTCTTATTTTGTCCTCTTTGATTATCACTTACAAATTGTTTTGAGTGAGATCCATTTAATTAATATAGTAATTTGTTGATAATTTGAGAAATATTTTTAGAAAGTAAAAGGAAAAAATAATACTCCATATTACTAAGAGAGAATTCCTTATACTCCGTATAAGGGTATCCTCATTGTTAGGATTATTGAGGGATCAAATTAGTGACATGGCAGATTTTTTAGAGAAGTATCATTGGGAGACATTGATTATTTAATGAGATTATTTGCTAGAATAATCCGGGATCAAAATATGAATCCGGATTATCTTAAGATTATTTGAAAAGTATGTGTAATACGTTAATGTCGGACGGAGAAAAAAGCGGATTATTTGAAGATGATGGTTGGGAGGCATAAATGGATTTTGAGATTATTTAAAAATTAATTATGTAAGAATATTTAAAAGGCAAGAATGCTAGAAAGTGTGATTTTTACGGGATTAGGAATGGTGATGCTCTAAGACTAAAACATGAACAAAGTCCACATGTAAGCATATCATTGTTTTCTTCCTAAAATAGAATTTATTCATTTCTAATAGGGGAAGTTTAATACTTTTATACTGTTAATAGGATCAAATAAGTCATATTTTAATAACAAAATACATGCATGTAGTCCTATTTATGTATTTTATCAAAGTTTTAGTCTTATTTAGAGCAATTTCTATATTACTAATAAATACTATATTTTAAATGTGTTATCAAATTAATAACTGGTTTGACTTTTAGTAATACTTTTATATCTATAAAGAACACTCACCTCAGACAACGTTTTCAAATAGGAAAAAGCTTTAAGAAAAATATTAACTCAAGTTTATTTTAGGCAAAATTATCAACTGATCAGACATAAGAGTTGGGCGTTAGAAAAATACTAATACGGATTAATCACTCATACTCCGTATTATATATCTGTACTTTACACAACTCGGAATCAACAAACTCATCCTCATTCAGTCAATCCAGTCATTATGCTTTCCTCATGTTATTTAAATTTAGGCCAAGATTTTACCAAGTTTTATGATGTAGGAAAGTACTTCTATTAGAAGAAATATAATAATTCTTTTATCAACTCCTGGATCTAGCATTTAATTATGTTTCGAGCTAATGATGGAATATGAGATTGTTGATTAGGAAAATGAATTCATAGATGCCAAGTTCGTTAGTGTCGTGGACCGCTATTCTAGATAAAAAGATGTATGGTTTCGCGTAATGATCGATTAAATTATCGTGTGATTTAGAAAGTTATACATATGATTATGTACATGTATATATATGTGTATCAATTACAGGAATTATTTATGATATCGCCCTTTGATGTTAACAATGTTGAAATGGAGTGTGTGAAATTGCTAGCGCTGCACATTGCAATTAAAACGTTTTACACATTAAAGAGATTCACCAAAAATTAAAGCATAATAATTCAATCATAATGACATTTAGGCTAATGGAAATAAATAAAACATGCATAGAGCTAATTAAGTGTGAAAGTCGAGCATGGTTGGAGTTATGTGTTGAAATGATAACAATTACGTTATAGTCCAAAAACTAACTACAATTAACACACGTTCATAATCAGACTCCTACCTTGTGGTTTCCCTTGATTCAATCCTTAATTACAAAGTATCTCTGGAAGTAAACAACCAAACGATTCAATCCACACTAAAATAATCATTTGCATAGTTTGGCTCGATTAGATCACGTTAAACAATAGTCGGATAATCCTATTCATTTATGTTTAATCCTATCTTTCCCGCTTAAGGAAGCATCCTAAATTATTAGAGTGGATTCTCTAGATAGGAGTAAAACATAGGGAAAATGCAAAAATATGAGTACCATATTTTGAATAGGAGTAATTTTAGTGATTGGACAAATATACCCACCCAAGCCCCAACCATTTTCATTAATAATTAAAACATAAAAGAATTAACACTAATTTATATAATTAAAATGTAAACAAACAATAAAAAATCATGAAAATATATATTAAATAAAATATACTCTGTATTAAATAAAAAATTTATTAAAATAAAAAATTATTACATAAAGCTAAAAAATTAAAATAAAAAATGTAAAAAATTTAAAAAACATATGCAGGCCTCTGCCGCCGCCTCAATAACCTCCTAGCACCACTAGCTCCGACCGACAGAAAAAATGTCAACATTTGTCAGAAATGTCATCTTGATGGCAGTTTTTGAAAAAAATTGACATTTCCAAAGAGTAAAAATGCAATCTTTATGGTATTTTCGAAGAAAAAAGAAAGTTTTTACATAAAATGACATTTTTTCGCTGATCGAAGGTGGCATTGCTGGACGGTGGTCGAGGCTGAACGAAAGGTCTCCATGATTTTTATTTTTATTTTTAATGTGTTTTATCTAGTTTTTATATATTTTTAAAGTTTTTGTATTTGTTTTAGGAAAATTTAATTTTTTAAGCTTTTATAATTTTAATATGTTTTTAAGAAAATGAGTTTTTTATTATATTTTAATAGGATCAAACAAGTCCTATTTTAAAATTAATTAGATTAGGGGTATTAAAGGTAGAAAATTAATGTTTACTCCTATATTGCGCAATTTCTGATTATTAAAATATATTTAAATTTTTGTAATGT